CACGCTTTGAAGATGTAGACGTTGATCGATGTCTTCTTTCGATGGAATAACTGCTTGGAAAAATATTTTTCATTATACAATACACATAGAATACATAATATGCACAGTAAATAAATCACAGTAAATGAATCACAGTACATAAGAAAATAAATATCAAAGTCAATGGTTCTCGAACATCTGTAACATACAAAGGATTAGTAACAAGAGAGGGGACACAACAATATGCACAATAAATAAATTAATAATATGCACAGTAAATAAATCACAGTAAATGAATCACAGTACATAAGAAGATAAATATCGAAGCCAATGGTTCTCGAACATCTGTAAATTACATTGCATGTTAGGTCTATTCATATATTTCGTCTGTGGTATAATAAATTATGACGGTAAGGTAGGGAATGATACTCAAATGGTAAAAAACTTTTTCTCGAGTCGTCAAAAATCCTTCTCACAATCGTCATTTTTGTCAAAAAAACAACCTATTTTAAAAATTTCATCCAATTCAGAGCATAGGGGTTTTCAGAAGTTTAGCCATATTGTATTCTCCGGTGGTTTACATCTATGCTGGTCGACGATGCCGCTAACTAGTAGCCAGGTGTTTGTACTAATTGATTGATAATTTCAATATTGTACTACAGATGATGACACGGGTACTGTTAATCACCTAATCCTAATATCATTATTGAAAAATACTGTATGTATTGTGCAAAGGTAACAAATAACAGCGGTTATTGTACAGTAGTCACAGAAAGGTTACAATTAATGATTTCATATAAATGGAATCAATTTATACTAGAATCGTTAAAATAAACTTTTGAATATAAATTTGTAAAATGATATTACTTCGGGTGTATAACGTTCAGTATTTTTTCAATTTGAATTATGTATTATGCTTTATAATAGTCAAAAGGAAATTAATTTCGCTTAAATTTATATCCAAAAGCTGGAAAATGATTTTCAAATGTCAAACGACATACTAAACAGCATGTATCTTCTAATGTATACTGCGCATAGTCAAAACGATAAACTCATATCACTGTTTAGATTGAATTACTTTAGGTATAAGTAATAAACGAATTTTTGTTAATTCGTGGTTGAGGGAATGAGATTATACTTTCCCGCGCTAAAAATTTCAATTCAGGAACTGTTATCAAAGAATTGTATAGCCTTCATAAGATTCTTTAACACTTATATCGATTAAAGATAATATACTTTTAATCCCCGCTCCGACTTATCGGAGCTAACTTTATCGTTACGTGATTAAAACAATTTTTGTAACAAGTAAGAAACACTTGTTAAAACACAAAACTATTTTTTATCTTACACTTAAAAATCTTAGAACTTAATTTTATTATTTCATATTCAAATTACTCGCCCCCGAATATGGAGCAGTCCTGAATACTTCATAAGTTTTAAATGGTACACATCCCCTCGGTTCATTTATCTTTTCAGATTTACTGTTAATGGAATTGTACTGGGTATAAAACTTCTCTACCGTAAAGTCTATAAATGCTAAATACATATAACTCAAAGAAGATTGTAGAAATATTTTGCGTATTGGAAATAAATAATTTTGTGTTTTTCCTGAGATATTGCATTCTTATAATCTTTTATTCAATTTTTAATAGATACACATTTTAATGTGTATCTTTTAATTATGTTTTAATTATATCTTTTAAATATTTGATTATGTACTAAAATCTATCTTCTTCTAGAATGGAACAGATATACGCACATCCCTGTCCTATGTACGAGAGAGCAATTAAAGTACATTCCGACGCATAAGAGGTGGGAGGGTATTTTTTCATTTCATTCGCTTTAATATGATTTCTTAACAAAACGTCACAGATGGAACGTATCGCGCTTGATAACCCAATGGTCAGTTCTACATTAGTGTTTGAATCAGCTCCACGCGAGTGTTTCTTAACGAACTGGTAGTTGAAAAATAGTTATAAAAGAGGTGAGTGTTTTTAAAACATTTTTCATTATACGACACAGGTTAATTTGGCCTTAGAAATGTAGTTCCGTGATAGTGAAGATGTGACGTAATACTACTTACCGACAGACTAAATGTCGAATTGCGGTGGTACAACTCGGAATGTGGATCGTGTAATTTTGATAACTTTCGAAGGATAACTAACAATTGGATTGTACACATCTTTGTATTCACAAGATTATTTCTGTGTATTGTAATGTAAATATAAAAGTGTGAAAAAGCATTTTATGTAAAAGTATATTTTCAAAATAAAAAAAGGATTCTCTATTGTAACAAGTGTCTTTGATTTGTTACTTTCAAAGGAACTTATTAATACTATTTTTAAAATGCAACATACATAATGAAGATATTGTTGAATACAAAATTAAAAGCTGGATAATGTCTGGGCCCGATAATGTTTTCTTATGTAGTTACATATTATATTTAATTTCAAGTTTTTTTTATTATTTGTGTTAGTTGAAAACACATGAATTATGTAGGTCCATTGTATTTTCTTCCTGTGGATGTTTGCTATAGGTTTATTCAGGGGTATAGGTCATTCTTATCAATTGGACAACACGTTGCAACAGAATTCAGTTGGATTATTTCTCAATAGTACAGTTACTACTTATCAGTTGTAGAAAAATGCTATATATGTATCTTGTATAACAATGTGTATTATTGTAAATGTGTATATGCATTTACCTACAATAAAGATATAAGTTCAGAAAAAATGGACCAATCTATCTGTAATATTAGTTTCTGTCGTACTTTATAAACATGAAACAAAGATTCACATGCATTTTAAAAATTTACTTGACTTATATACAATTGAAAGTACATTTTACTTGTATCGTTGTATGTTTTATAAATATCTTTGATTTTTGTAGTTACACATAATGTGTCATTAAATTGAATGCAAATACAAAAGTAACTCTATCAACGAATCTGTAATTAACTTGACGTTTGATTTTAAATAAATATATTTACCATGGAGATAGAAAATTATACAAAGATATATTAAATAAAATACATAACACATCAAATGAATTAAGCTATTCAAATTTTTATGATTATGAATTCTAATAGTAACAGTATCTATGTAGTTTTACTGATTTATCGAGCCAAGTCTTTCAAATAATTTCATGTTTTGGTACCACTATGTTTATAGATTTGTTTAACACAATAAGTGGATCAGGTGATCTAAATCTACAATGCCCAACAACACAGGTCACAAAGGAACATTCAGTACATTAATCTTTTTTGTCAATGGAAAGGAGGTATGTACACTTCATGTCAAATTCTTCAAACAAAAATAGTTGCATTTAAGAAAACTCTTGCTATAATAAAAGTACCTACTATAAAAAATCGTGGTAATAAATGAATTATGAAAGATAACAGAAAATAAATGGAAAGAGTTATTCTCACCTGGATGTACAATCAGTAGGATTTCTGGAACACATGTTCATTTATGCGAGGTATACATTTAACGACTTACTTAAGTAAAAGAATCACAATGGTTTTAAGTTGTGTACCTAAATTAAAATCAATTGATCATTCAAGACGAATAATATATTATCCTTGTCATATTTTTTCTCATATTTTCGCGCGAACGGTTATGGTGGAATGGTCGCGGCCATATTTGATGCAATTCAAAGTGGGAGATGTAACCTTCAGCGGTCAATTGAATATGAATCGGTTGTAATTTTCATATTTGAAACATTTTTTCAATTATTTAATAGCACTTTGAAGCGAATCGTGTAGTATTATATTTTTAAGCTACTAAAAGTTAAAAGAAACTATTAATTATTACAAATTTTTATTGCATAATACAATTACTTATGGAATATTTTAGGTCGTAGATGACAAGGTCGACCCAGAATGGACATTATTATGGTACTTGAGAAATAAACGTATCCTTGATTTTCCAATTGAACATCTCAGAATGTAAAATTCATTCCATTTGGAATTTGTTTCTTATAATGATTACGAGACATTAAACATTATATAAACGTTAGGATTCATTGGAATGCCACAGGGCTCATGACTATCCCGATTATCTATCACTTTTAACAAGCGGTAAGCCGATCTACAGACTATGCAGAAGGTAATCGTGTATTTCCATATTAAAAGGCCTACACAACCCGATGAATGCATGGGTTCTTGGTGTTCTTAGGTTCTTACACAACATTAGAATGTTTGCTGTATTCTCCTTAGTAACGTGATATATGAACACACACGGTCGTTCCAATGTGAATAGAGAAATAAGGTGTAATTTCGAAATTTGATACTATTTCTAAGAGATTAATGAAGTTTACGACACATTCCATTAAAGTTAATATTCAATCAAGGACATTTATTAGGCAAACGTTTACCATAATAACAAATATTATTACATTCTCGGAATTGATATAAATTAAGCTGAAATCATTGGTGAGTCGCCAAAAAAGGAATGGTATTTACAGTGTAGTTTTTATACCAACTCAATGTCGCAAAACGACTTTCTGATAAAAATTAATTTCCGCTAAAAAAATCTGTGAGAATCCTTAACGAAAATAATGCAGTACACCTAACTGGAACGAAATTGGGCTGCGCGGAAGGTGGTTGCGGCGCTTGCACAGTAATGATCTCAAAGCTAGATCGTCAGACAGGGATTATTACGTATCCTTTCAAATTATCGATACAAATAAATCAACTTCTAAATGAAATCTGAACGGAAGTATGGATTTCGACGCTAAATCCTACTAAATACAATATGAATTTTAACGTCGTCATTCATTTCTCCTAGTTTCTAGATCAATAACATACAACAAGGGAATACTGTAATCTACTGTTACGTGAATCTCTCGATGTTGGTTCATAGACACTTTTTCGATCAATTTCACTGCCTGAACCCTTAACTGGAGAGGTGGATATTTCATTATACTTATTACACAACTAGTTGTTTTGCATTTTCACGTAAGAAAATATTGAAATAAACAAGCGTCTCTTTAAGTAACTATTAAATAAAAATAAAATATTGTAAAAATATTCATGATGTTCCACAGGCCTCACCTCACCAGTTATGGGTTAATGGATTGCGTCCTTATCTATAACTTTTGAAGATTTCATCGAAGAAATTATTTTCCTTAATGGCAAACTTTGACAATCACTATAGACACTTGGCAGCGAATGCATGTTTAACACCAGTCTGTGCTGTGTACGGTTTAGCGGTGACCACAGTGGAGGGCATCGGTAGCGTTAAAACAAAGCTTCATCCTGTACAGGAACGCATAGCAAAAGCTCATGGCTCGCAATGTGGCTTTTGTACTCCTGGAATTGTCATGTCCATGTACGCGTTGCTGCGAAACACCCCGAAACCCACTATGAAGGATCTTGAAATTGCATTTCAAGGTAATACGAAGATTGAAGGAGGTCAAACTGTTAATAATTTTACGTAATAACCAACCTAAATAACAATTACTGAAATTAGTTATGTTTACACGTATGCGTAATATCGATAGGAACGTCATTTTGGCGATTTCGATGCGCGGTAAAGCTTTGTTGCCGGGTCTAGTCGATTTATCTCAAATTTGACTGTGGGTACATATTTAATTCGAATATGTAAACAGTAGCAGGGATCCATAAATACGTGTTATTTAATAGAAAGAAATTACTCGTATGGTTTTTCTGTGCTATCCGTACTGAATGACAATGAGGAAGTTGTCGAACGGTTCTTCGTTTTCCAGTAATTTAAATAGTATTCTATCTATCGCTTTCTCAAGTTTAAGTTTAAGTTCCTGTGGAATAATACGTGTGTTATTTACAATACTGATAATAACAAGTGATTTTATCGTTCAAAGTGATTTTGATCGTGTACTTCTAACGTTTATAATAAATATGATATATTATTTGCTATTGTTTTATCCGACATTCAAATTGTAGGAAACTTATGCAGGTGCACCGGATATCGTCCGATCATAGAAGCCTACAAAACGTTTACTGAAGAATGGGAACAGATGCAATTAATGTCGAATCACCAAGAGAAATCCACGTCGAACGGAGTCTGTCCAATGGGCGAGAATTGTTGCAAAAGAATACCTATAGCAGAACCAACCGAGGTTTTCGATACGAAAGAATTCCGTCCGCACGATCCGTCGCAAGAAATTATATTTCCGCCCAAATTACGCGTAAGTGACCATCGATAAATACCTTGCGAATTTATAATATGGTTTGAGAAATATTTATCGAGATCAATCTTCAGAAACGAAGTACATTTTCAGATCTCATCGCATATAGACGAGGAATATTTAGTTATAAGAGGAAAATCTGTCACTTGGTACAGACCTAGAACGCTTTCTGAGTTACTTGAATTGAAGAGTGAACATCCAAATGCAAAAATTATCGTAGGGAACACTGAAATAGGTGAGCAATATTGGAAATTAACGCATTTGCGTATCTTTTATATAAATAAATTTTATGCTTTTTTTTTAGGTGTTGAGGTCAAGTTCAAACATTTGTCCTATCCAGTTCTTATACACCCCATTATGATCGACGAAATGCGATCGATCGAAGAACACAAAGGAATGTTGCGCGTGGGCGCGAGCACGACGCTTGTTGAAATGGAAAAAGCATTAAAACAACAAATTAGCGAAAAATCTGGTGACTAAAATTTAAACCTTGATTTTTATCGAATAATTTCCAAGACGAATAACAATTTTCCTAAGAAATAATGCTTTCGATACCTTCTTTAAAATTCAAATATTTTTGTCGCTGTTGCAGAACACGAAACAAGAATTTTCGGTGAAATAATTAACATGCTTCATTGGTTTGCTGGCAAACAAATCAGAAATGTAGCTGTAAGTCCTTCGTATTGTTAATGTCATTATTTTGTATTCTTCCAACAATATTTGTTTAAATTATAAATTTAAATCATCTCTGCGACAGGCTATTGGAGGAAACATAATGACAGGAAGTCCTATATCTGACCTGAATCCAGTTTTCATGGCAGCAGGTGTACAGTTAAATCTCGTTAGCTCGAAAAATGGAAACAGAGTCGTACCAATGGACCACACCTTTTTCAAGGGCTACCGACAAAATATTGTGTTACCTGATGAGATTTTACTTGCTATTCAGATACCATTTACTAAAGAGGTGAAACAATAGTGTACAATCTAAAATTTTTGAAAAAATTATTAATGTTAATTGAATGATTTATAAGTGCAAACTATTCGTTTATGATACCTTCTTAATATTTCAGAATCAGTATTTTGTAGCTTATAAACAAGCAAGAAGACGAGACGATGATATTGCCATTGTGAACATGGCGTTAAATGTATTTTTCGTACCTCGTACTAACATTGTGGAAAAAGTAAACTTGGCGTTCGGTGGAATGGCTCCGACTACAGTTCTGGCAAGGAAAACTTCTGATATCATGATTGGAAGGTATATAACATGTCACTTTTTAATGTCACTAAACTATAGAATAACAAAATTCATGCAGGAAGTGGGATCAAACCATTTTGGAGGATGTATATTCTTCGTTAGTGGATGAATTTCCTCTTCCGGACGACGTTCCTGGTGGTATGGTCAAGTATCGTAAAACTCTGACTCTAAGGTACATAATTTTTGTACTTGTTTTCGTATAATGCTCCTGGAACATAGTATTAACAAAAGTAAAAAATATAAACAGCAATTAAAATTTATTAATCTTCTTCAATCTCGCAGTTTGTTCTTCAAGGGATTTTTACACATAGCCGAAAAACTTCAGGCACGATCAGATTCGCCATTGTTGCCAAAGGAACTTAGAAGCGCCGCGGAAGGTTTTCACGATAAAGAACCAAAAAGTTCGCAATACTATCAAGTGGTACGCCGTATTTCTTGATCGAATTGATAATTATCTGTGTTGGTGGAATATTTTCATAATATTATATAATTATCTGTTAGGTGCCAAAAGTCCAGGAAGCGAATGATTTAATCGGGAGGCCAGTTGTACACGCGAGCGCTTTTAAACAAGCGACTGGAGAAGCGATTTATTGCGATGATATACCAAAGTTCACCAAGGAACTTTATTTGTCTTTTGTCTTATCTACCAGAGCTCATGCGAGAATCTTGAAAATCGATGCGACCAAAGCATTATCCATGGAAGGCGTTGTAGCCTTTTACAGCGCGGAGGATTTATCCGAGAAACATCGTTACTATGGTCCTGTGTTTATGGACGAAGAAATCTTCGTATCGGAGGAGGTAAGATTTTCTGGCGAAACTCTGAAATTCTAGAACTCTGTTAACCATAAGATAACGCGCTGACAACAATTGCGAAGGTCACTAGTCAGGGGCAACCAATCGGTGCGATTGTCGCAGTCGATCAACATATTGCACAGAAAGCGGCCAGAATGGTTGAAATCGAATATGAAAATATTGAGCCAGTAATTATTACGATAGAGGTAAATATGAAAATATAATATAAACAACGCAGTATATTATATAATGATAATATGCTTTTAGGACGCAATTAAACATCGTTCCTTCTTCACCGAGACTCCAAAACATATAAGAAAGGGCAATCCTGAGGAGGCTTTCTCACAATCAACGCATATTCTGGAAGGAGAAATTCGAATTGGGGGACAGGAACATTTTTACCTTGAAACACAGGCTGTTTTGGCGGTTCCAAGGGAAGAAGATGAATTGGAAATATTTTGCTCCACGCAGCATCCCACGGAAATACAGAAACACGTGGCGCACATGTTGAACGTTCATGCCAATAAGATTGTGGTAAGAGTGAAAAGAATAGGTGGTGGTTTTGGTGGGAAGGAATCACGAGCTTCAGTGGTCGCTCTGCCTGTTGCACTTGCTGCTCATAGGTATTGCTATATCTTTAGAATAAAAAAAATTTACTTAATGACAATGATATGGAAGTTGTAATTGTTCGTTTTACAGATTAGGGAGACCAGTACGTTGTATGCTAGACAGAGATGAAGATATGATGCTGACTGGAACAAGACATCCATTTTTGTTTAAGTATAAAGTTGGGTTCCATGACAGTGGCTTGATCAAAGTTATGGAAGTTTACATTTATAATAATGCTGGTTTCTCACGAGATCTTTCTTTGGCGGTTAGTTAATGGTTTTTAATGTACCGTGTAACGAACGAAATTTGGTTTCCTCTGTGTGAATGTATTAAGAACTATGAAGCTTTTTCTTGCAGATTGTGGATCGTGCTATGTTCCATTGTGAAAATTCTTATAAGATACCAGTATGCGATATCTATGGTTTCGTGTGTAAAACTAATTTACCATCCAATACCGCGTTCCGTGGTTTTGGAGGTCCACAAGGAATGTTTGTAGCAGAGACCATTGCCAGACATATTGCAGAATACTTAAAGATAGACCCTGTTAAGGTACAATTATAATTTATAATGTAACGCGTGTAGTTGTGAGTAATAATTACAGTTTAATATTAACAGGTTTCAGAGTTAAATTTGTATAAAGAGGGAGACTCGACACATTATAATCAAAAACTTAGTAATTGTACTTTAAAACGTTGCTGGGAAGAGTGTTTCTTATCGTCTAATTATACTGAAAGACTGGCAAAAATCCAACAGTATAACAGGTATGTTTAGATGTTTTTTACTTTAATGTTTCTGTTAATTCTTTTTTTCATGATTTTATGTAAAAATTGATTAATTTTTTATACTTTCGTATGCTTCATTTGTACAATTTATACTACCGAAGAAGAGTTTGTAAGAAATATGACACATCTCCAAAATAAAGATAACCTTAATATACAATATTCCAATAGACAAAATAAGTGCAAAAAAAGAGGATTGGCGATAGTTCCGACCAAGTTTGGCATTTCCTTTACTGTACCGTTTTTAAATCAGTCGGGGGCGCTTGTGCATGTTTATACGGATGGTTCTGTTCTGATTAGTCACGGTGGTGTCGAGATGGGACAGGGTTTACATACAAAAATGATACAAGTAATATCGAATTTTATTTTACTTTATTACTACAACACGATTTTAGTATGCGTTCATTTTTGCACGAGAATCAATTTTTTATTCGCATTTCCTCTGGCATATAGGTAGCGAGTAGAGTATTAAAAATAAAACCAGAAATGATACATATCATGGAGACTGCTACAGACAAAGTACCAAACACGTCTCCAACTGCAGCCAGTGCTGCATCAGATCTCAATGGTATGGCTGTTTTGGTGAGTGAACATGTTTTGTAAAATATATTCCCATCGAAACTACATACGTCAATATACATTGTACATATCCCTTTTTACTACGGAATACAGAATGCCTGTGAAAAAATTATGAAACGATTGAAGCCAGTAATAGATAAAAATCCAACCGGAACGTGGAAGGAGTGGGTATCAGCAGCGTATTTGGAAAGGATCAGCCTTTCTTCTACTGGTTTTTATAAAACGCCAAATATAGGATACTCATTTGAAACTAATTCTGGGAATCCGTTTAATTACTTCACATACGGTGTCGCGTGTTCGGAAGTAGAGATTGACTGTTTGACTGGTGACCATCAAGTAATCTTCTCGAAATAATAATCTTCTCTGATATTACTATAAAAATGAGATTAATTAAGTTTTCAAGTTCTGCTTATATTTTTATACCATTATTTCACACGTAGGTATTGCGAACAGATATTGTAATGGACTTAGGTGAAAGTCTTAATCCTGCTATCGATATCGGACAAGTGGAGGGTGGTTTTATGCAAGGGTATGGTCTCTTTACTCTTGAAGAAATGGTGTATTTGAGGAATGGTGCCCTTTTTAGTAGAGGACCAGGAGCATACAAATTGCCTGGTTTCGCGGATATTCCCGAACTATTTAATGTGTCCTTATTGAAAGGAGCTCCAAATCCCAGAGCTGTTTATTCGTCCAAGGTAACCGGTTTTGATTAAGATAAAATATAATCATATTCACTGCAGGGGAATTAGTAAGATATGTTTTTCACACCTAATTGATTTAATAATCAGCTTATAGGAATCGACTGTGATTTAATGTATTAAATAGTTAGAGGATAGTTACTTACAAATTTCAAGTCAAAATATTTTTAGGCTGTTGGGGAACCACCATTGTTCCTTGCTTCTTCCGTTTTCTTCGCTATAAGAGAAGCCATTAAATCAGCTCGCGAAGAAGTTGGTTTAAACGGTTACTTCAGATTTGATTCTCCAGCAACTGCAGCGCGTATTCGGTTGGCATGCGTTGATGAGCTCACAAAGAAGGCAAGTTAAATATTTTCATATTTCTAAAGTTACATTATAGTGGTATAATTACATAATTATAAAAATATAAGGCAGTTCATCGTATGACAGATGTATTATTATTCCATGAATATTTCGATTTACATAGTGCATTGTTAATATTGTCTAACATATTATTTAATATTACTTCATATTACAGATTGCAGAGCCGGACTTAAATTGTCAGTGGAATATAGTTCCGTAAAAGGTATCTTATTCAACTGAGAAAGAACCAGTACCGTTTATTGTTAGATGTTAATATACTGTAAATATTGTTATTATAGAGAACTTGTTAAAACGAGGCGTACTACTTGTATTTACTTATTATTAATTTATGTACTAAGTTTATTACTTTGATAAAATAATCAACAGGCTGCATGTAACTATGTTTTGTTTCAAGAAATGACCATTTTTTTACAGCTTCTTCCTTTACTTTTTTAATTTCCAGATTTCCCGTATATTTTCCACGATTTATTGAGATACACCACAAAGTAGAAATAAAAAAATTATTTCTCCAGTTCAAGTACATTATTTCTCAAATTACTTTGTTTCCAGTGTAATATATGTATAACAGTATATAATACCAAAAATTTAACTTTTAAAAAATTACAGCTCGCTCATTGGTATACCTAACAGTCACTTAATTGCACCTGAAGATCATCGATTTTTTTTCATTTATCTTTGTCGTTGATACTTTTTTTGCTACCTCGGACGGTGATGACATCCTTTACTTTTCCTTAAGTGTGCTGTATTCATTTCTTTATTTACTGATCAATTGTGAATGTGATGAGAGAGTAATAGATCTCACTCTTGAGATCTTTGACGAGATGTAAGTACACGAAAAAGAAAAATAATATTATACACTTGCCTCTGTTACTTATAATACAAAATTTAGTACTTTTATATTGATATATGATTAATTTTTCTTTTTAATAAAGATACATAATGTTTAGATTATCCAGAAGTCTTCGATATTTAAAGTTCGACGCCATTTCAACCACCCATTAATTACGACAATAGATTTTCAATTATTCAAGAATGTGTTATGTCCACATATTAAAAAACTATTCACGTTTAAAATGCGAAATTTGATATTTATCGTTTACGATGAAATAAACCATAAATTGTATGAGAAAAGATCTGAGTTGATAACGCATTCAAACGTAACGTCGCGTCGAGTGACTTCAATGCGCGGTAGAGGGTAAATTACCACCGGTGGGCTCAGGTTGCTGCGAACTAAACGCAATTTCTCGAGATTCTATTGAATGAAATCACAAGCAACTTTCATTTTTTTGTTCTAAATTTACTTCGATTTGAGAATCTTTTAAATTAACGTTACGAAATTAACATAATTAACACAATATGTTAATACTGTAAAATTAATATAATAAAATTGACTTATTACATATGCTTCATGATCACTGAACTGATGTAATAATGATTATCACGCTTAAGTGTTCATAATGTACATATAATATTTACGAGACGTAATGCATTGTACATACTTTTTATCGTTACTATGTATGTATTTGTTCGAATCATTGAGGTAGGCAGTTATGGTAGTAGATTTGATTCATTAAAAGAGTAAAGTATACATAAATGATTAAATGTTAATAATTTCATTATTTTCTTCCTGAATTTATTTTCAATTGATCATTAATAAACTGTGGGTGTTGCCGATATCCGTAGTCTAATCATCTGTAATTGATTAGTCTAAAGTATTATTGTTCAATGATATTTATTTTAAGTGTGATTCCATGTGATACAGGATTGCCGTGAAGATAGAAGCATATTTTTTCTATTTTTTTTTCTATTTCCAGCCGACTCGTTTCTTGTATCCTTAGAAGGATTCACTGCTGTAACATTCTCTTAGTTCATTTAACTCCTCTCTTTTATCAATTTATGGGATGATTTTTCTATTCCAGCTCATTAGTAGTGCCATGTCATACTTCACCGTAATGTATTCCGTGCAAGTGTAACTGCAAGGACATAAACTGATCGCACCTGATCCTAATGGAATAAGTTTCAACATAATGATGTTGCGCCAAAATGTTCAAACAATTTCATTATTTTGTAGACTAATTTACAGAGAGAAGAATAAAAGAAGAATCTTATGTTGTTACAAATCAACCAGACATTTCGATTAAATTTTATTAGAAATTTCTGTTTTGTTATGTTTTACAGAAAAACATAAATGACTGAAAGTCACAGTTAATTGGTTGCTAACTTATTTGTTAATTCCTGTGTATGTGCATTCATTTATCACGTGTATGTAGTATATGTATATTTCAAGTTGCATGGGAACCGATAATTTCGGAATCGGCCATAAACATTTCGAGCAAGTGTTTAATATTAAACAGTACATTGAAACTGTGATATCGCTGAGTTTGTATCATGTACTTACAGGTGAATATTATGACAGCGTCTCGCAGGATGTCCTTAACCGCGCACCTGTTCGAGGATACGGATAAACCACAGGTGATTTCTGTATATTTATCGCGTAAAGAACAAGAGTTTCATTCTGTTGAAAGGTGATAATATTTTCAACGAAAAAGAAGTAGAAAGCTGCAGGTGGTTCCTCTGGAAGATACCGGGTTCCATGTACCAAAGTAAAGCATTTAATGAAAAAAAATGAAAACGGGAAGAAAAACGGAAGAATTGATATACTTTAAGCTCACGATTAACACTTATATTTAATCGGTTACCGCGCGTATTAAAATAATTACAATATCTTACTTATTAAATTCATACGATATAAAATAATCGTCGAGCCTCTATTTTTTCGAGATGAAAATAGTTTTACATAAAAAGTGTTACAACAGCTTAAATATTCGTCGAAGGTAAACAAAATGGTGGAATTGAAGAGAATCTTTATACAAAGGCGCCAAAGATTTTCTAACGATTTCGTAGGATACAAGATAATTTCACATAAAAGTCGTCACTTGAACCTAAACATCACGAAAAGGAAAAAAAACGATGCAGTGTTCTACGAAAGGGGGGTTGATCCTTAGAATTTTAGATAACGATATTTCCATAAACAGTGATAAAAATCCAGATGAAAATTTATCTCGAAAGATATCAGAACGTTTTGAGAAGCCATCTAGTGTCCCATAAAAAGGGCTGTCGACCCTTAAAATTTTAGATAATGGTATTTCCACAAACGACGATCAAAATTCACATGAAAATTTATCTCGAAAGATACCAGAACTTTTTGAGAAGCCATCCAGTGTCCCATAAAAAGGGCTGTCGGCCTTTACAATTTTGGACAATGATATTTCCATAAACAGTGATCAAAATCCAGATGAAAATTTATCTCGAAAGATACCAGAACGTTTTGAGAAGCCATCCAGTGTCCCATAAAAAGGGCTGTCGACCCTTAAAATTTTAGATAATGGTATTTCCACAAACGACGATAAAAATTCAGATGAAAATTTATTTCGAAAGATACCAGGATGTTTTGGGAAGCCATCCAGTGTCCCATAAAAAGGGCTGTCGACCCTTAGAATTTTAGATAATGGTACTTCCACAGTCGACGATCAAAATCCAGATGAAAATTTATCTCGAAAGATACCAGAACGTTTTGAGAAGCCATCTAGTGTCCCATAAAAAGGGCTGTCGACCCTTAAAATTTTAGATAATGGTATTTCCACAAACGACGATAAAAATTCAGATGAAAATTTATCTCGAAAGATATCAGAATGTTTTAAGAACGACCCAGTGACCCGCAAAAAGGGCTAACGACCCTTAGAATTTTGAACAGCAATGTTTCCACGAACGATGATTAAAATTCAGATAAAAAATATATCTCGAATACCGCCCAATTCGGTTGGTAGCGAACCCGCGTGGTGGGGGCGATGGTGTTAGGGGAGTTCGGTGGCCGTGGTCGATACCACAGATCCATTCGCGTCCGCGTCGCGTTCAGTCGGTGCGTGCTGGCGGCTCCGTCCGGGTCGGTTCTCAGTTTCGTTTCTTCTCTCGTCCGAGACTCGCCGTGTTTTCCGTTCGATCCGTGTTTTCGTTGAACGGTGTGTACCACTCAACGATCATCATCATCGTCATCGTCGTCGTCGAAGAAATTATTATTTCTACTTGTGGGTGGCCCGATCAACCACTTCTTTATTCACGGAGGACACTCGGTGGATCGTTTGCCCTGGACCCCGGAGATCCAGAGGATCCAACGAGGTAGGTGGAATCGGTGGCACGCTAAGAAACACGTGGACCAGCCGCCGAGCACGAGTTCGATCGCTCGGTGACAGGCGACTTCTTGAGAGTGTTATTTACTGTAAAAATTCGCAACAACACGTGAAGTGTCTCGAATCATTTTAGGATTTAGATTCATTCATTAGTACAGATTCTATTCCGGTGGAATACCGGTCGATGGAAAGTGAAACGCTGTGAGAGTGAATGGCGGCTGGTCTCGCGGAGCAGTTTATTGGTGTGAAGAATTAATATTTGTTTCTTTGATTTTCTGAATGAAACTGGGCATTTTGGAAGTACCGATTTATCGTGATCTTGTGTTACCAGCGAACGGTCGCCCTACCGATATTTTACTTTTCGTGAAAGAAATTATTTCGAAAGTTGAAGTTGTCGTTCTGAGTATTCGAAGTATTTGAATGGTAATTTTTTTATTGAGGTTTGGAAATTTTTTACTGGAGTTGTGAGAAGTTAAATAAATGGTGAAAAGATGTTTTGAGATATTTGGAGTGGTAACGTTCTTGTGATTCTTGTAACGCACGGGGTTGAATCAACCCTTATAAGTGCAAACTTGTATTATTCTCTATATTAACATATCTGACATTTTGCCTTTTGGACTTTTGAAAAACAATAGTATTCTAGCGAATGTTTAAAAGGGTGGTAAACAAATAATTCTTACTGATTGTCTAATATTTTTCATTGATTTCATGATTCTCGTTTGGATTATCATTTTTGGAGGCGACTTTTTCGATTAATTGTTTAAGCATCTGTTTCGTACGTTTTGCCAACCGTTTTACGTCGACGATTTAGGAGCGGTTTTAGAGTTCGGAACTCGCGCGAATAGACGACTAGAGACCGGCTTGTTCGTTATCGCACAGCGACCTTATGTAATATATATATTTTTCTTTTATTTTTAGCCGGCGACACTACACGCAGACAATCGTAAATCATCTTTCTACCATTGACATTGACAATCTTCGCGGTGCGCTGCGATAGCGATCTAGCATTGTC